GGATACTCTCAACAGTCCGGATACTCTCAACAGAGCGGGTTCCCCAACTGGGCCTGGTGGACACCTCCACCATGCCCTTATCCGACTCAGCAGCAGCAGCAATGGCATCCAAACAGCATCCGAAATCAGCAGCCGGTCGCCCAACCTCAGGCCCATTTTTCTGGATTTCCACAACAACCGTTCATCGGGTACAACCCTTCACCACAAGGCGTATACAATGCACTGAGCCCTTCAGATCTCAGCGCAGCATTCAGTAACATGCAGAAGTCCTTGTTGGTCTGCAAAGGCTTTGAAGGCTGAATTGTCAAATTCACCCCCGAGGTCACATTGAAAAGTTTTAATTTTTCGGTGAAATTGAGTTTCAATTAAACGATGTAAGAAGGACTTCTGTGTCGCCTGGAAGTGGCTCGGCTTCAGCCAACAAGGTGTAAGAAGCATGTATCATGTATGTACCTTGTGATGTTTAGAATCTTGAACCATGGTTTTATGTTGAGCATTGCTACGGTTTTGTGCTCTTTTCAGAGAATTAAATGCTCGGTTTTGAGGCCTAGTGTTGGGCTAAAAATTGGTTTTCATACCTTAGTTGAAGAAGAGAAAGAGGAAGCATGTTGATTGTTTTTTACCTTGTTTTGTTGGGATCCTTTGTGTTGTGCTGAACTTGTTAAATTGTGGTTGTTTATATATTGTTTTGTGATGTGTTTGAGCTTAATTGATCAGAGTTTAAGGTTAGTAAGTTGGTCATATGTTTGGTTTCAATTTGAGTAAGTAAAAAGAAAGAAAAAAAAAGGGTACTTTTGCTCAGTTTAGATGACCTTTTTCCCGGGCCATAGTCTTGAAAGCGGCTTTTGTACAACAATTTTATAGTATGTGAACATTATTCCGCGCGTGTTTGAAAATGCCGCGTTTTCTTTGGGGTTTGTTTTTCCCTTTTCATTTCCGTGGTCCGTTCAATCTTTTCGTTGTCGCGATACGTCGTCTCTAAGTTTGCTATCGTGTTAGGCACACACGATTTTTCTTCTCGCTGGTGCGTCGATTTTGTCCCTTTTTTTTTAAATCTTTTTTTGAGGTTAGTTTCTTTGTATATTTATATTTTTTTTCCAGTTGTTATTGTTTGCCACACTTGTCCCATTTTCTCCTTTGGTTGGTTTTCTTCCTTTTTAGTTTCCCTTACAGTTCCCTGTGCATTTATCTTTGGGTTGCCTTTTACTTTACCGTTTTTGTGGGATGTTGTGTTCTTTTATCGTTTTCGGAATTCAAATGTTCTGTTTGTTTTTTGTTGTTGTGTCGTTTCTTCTTGCTTGCAAGAGTTTGATGTTTTATGGTTTCTGCTGCTTTGCAGATTTTGTTTATTATGTCTAACATCTGCCCTTGCTATGATGTTTTGTTTGGATTGTTCTTCGCGGTTGTTCGTGCTTCTATATAATGTTTTTTCTTTTTGTATTTTTTATTGCAGTTATGTTCAGTTGCGTATGTCATTATGTGATATCATGCTTTGATGTTGTTTCTATTAAACTTGCGGTGTATGTGTTTCGGTGCCCTCTTTCTCGAAATCAACTGCTGGCGCTTGTGAGGCCATCTCCAGCCCTTATCTCTACTCTAGTGCGGACATTACTCTACTCTAGATAGAGTTGAACATTCATCTCCAACCTTTATCTCTACATTTTACTTTACATTAAATATATTATTTTTTTATTTATTTTTTACATTAAATATATTATTACTTTACATTTTACCCTAGACAATATATGGTCTAGGGTGTAAATATTAAAAAAAAATTATAGCGCGGATGAACAGTGTTGCGCCACATGTGGCGCAACACTGTTCATCTCTCTCAACTGGCGTTAAAATGTGGCGCTGCATTGGAGAAGAATATTGACACAACTCTGGCCATATACTCTACTCCAACGCAGGGTTGGAGTTGGTCTGAGGAACCTTGGATAATCTAAATTGTCGGTAAGTGGGAGGGTTTTTAAATGGCTTTTCGAAGAAAAAAATATTTGTCATTAATTTACTCTACTTCATTACTTTCCCACTTTGCCTCATATTATTTATCGTATTAGCATATTGGGTTAAAAATCAATGTTAGCTTAGAAAATATATATATATATAATTTTATTTTTACATTAACATATTGGGTTAAAAATCAAAGCCAGATTATAAATAAATTCAAATTTCTTTGAATACACCATTGACATTTGAAATTACGTGAATTGGGTGTTTTGTAAAAAAAACAAAAGAAAAGAAAAAAGAAAGATTGAGTGATGAATTATGTGCAAATAATAGAGGAAGCATAAGATAATGTGCAAATAATAGAGGAAGCGTAAGATTAAAGATTGAGTGATGAATTATGTGCAAATAATGTCACCAATGGGCCGGCCACCGCCTTTAGGTCCGTTAGCAACCATTTTTAATTTTCGATTTTGTAAGAGCATCTCTAATGGCTCAATGTCTATTTTAAGATGTATTGTGTGGAGAAAGGAAATAAAATTATTTTGTCTCCAATGGTTAATTTCAATTGGGGGATAATTTGACACGTGTAATATAATAATTGGTTGATAGAAATATAAATATAAAATAAATAATACTATATAGAATGAAAAATGTCTAGAAGTCTTTCTACATCTAGAAAGACTTCTAGAATTATTGAATGACAAATTGGATTTTTGAGACTAGGTGGCAATGGAAGAGAGCAATCCACGGATCATTGGAGATGCTCTAATAAATAATACTGAGATGCTCAAAAAAAAAGCAAAATCTCCCAACTGCTCCCAAATCCGAAATTCCCAGTCAAAAAAACCCTAGCGGCGGCGGCGAGGCGGCTTCATTCCGGCGATACATTCTGGTAATGATGGATGAACTTTTTGGCTTTGATTATTTGGTGTGGTGCCTTTGAATTTCTTTGATGTAATTTGATTCTATGTCATGGTTGGTGGACGTGTAAGCTTTAAAGTTTGTACGACTTTGTGTTTTATATGGTTAGATTCGAGCTTATTGATGGACTTGGTATATGTTTATTTACAGTTTTTAATTGTTGGTG